GACTCATTTTCCAAACTCTCAAAATTTGCGGATTTGGATTTAGAGCTTTGATGATTTTTCTATAAATTTTCTAAAAACAGTAACAGAAACTGTTTTCAACAAAAAGTTGCTGTCAATTTCATTTCACCTTGTAACATGTTGAGCAAGGTGTATATCTTTATATGATTATATGTTATTGCAATATATGTCATTTTATCTTAATATATGGACACACATCAGTTTACAAATGGATTTGGACATATTGAATATAAAGAATAACAAGTGATTATAATCAAAGTACAACCGATATATTCAAACATTTAATAAACTATTTTAAATATAGTTTGCATACATTACTACGTACTACCCTTGGTTGATAAACTATAATAGGTATAGTTTATGATACATTACATAACACATACATTTAAAAATGGTACATTTATACAAAGGATATTTTCATTAAGCAAGGTACGGCCATACGGTACCAAGTTTTCATAACACGTATTTCCGTTAACGATACATTCAAACATTTAATAAACTATTTTAAATATAGTTTGCATACATTACTACGTACTACCCTTGGTTGATAAACTATAATAGGTATAGTTTATGATACATTACATAACACATACATTTAAAAATGGTACATTTATACAAAGGATATTTTCATTAAGCAAGGTACGGCCATACGGTACCAAGTTTTCATAACACGTAATTCCGTTAATTACTTTGTGAGACATTTACTTCAAATTACCATTAAGTCCTGTATTGTAACCAGAGTCTCCTTGAGGGAGAGCGTGATACTTGTGTATAGATCTATATTGGGTTTGACAAACCCACACCTAAGCTGCATGCAACAGCTAGACCGGCAGGTCTGGGGTGACAAATGTCATAACATTTCCGACGCCTGAAGAACGTCGTTTCAGGCCAACTAGGTCATAGCATGGTTATAATAACTCACATAAAGTATTAATAAACATTGGAATTTACGGGAACTTCATTAAAATTTAACGAGTTTATGTCGATTTAAACTTGCATTGTTTTACTATAAATATGACAAATTACTTGTACATTTCGGTCTTTGGGTTTTAAGACTACATTTACACATTAAGGAAAATATTGGATTTTCTAACACAAATACTACTTTCACAAACGAAAGGCTTTTAATAATACCAAACAAAAGCTTATGAACTCACCAACCTTTGTGTTGACACTTTTTCAAACAACTTGTATTCTCAGGAAATCATTAAACAGGTAATCAAGTGTTTTTGAGGATGGGACGCTAAGGCGTCTACTATTTCATATTTTGTCAACATATTATAATTGATTCGTAAACATGTAATTCATACAATGATGTAACTTTTTCAATTATATATATGTTGGTTGTGTTTGCTTGAATTACTATTACAATTGTTGTTATGATACTATACATGAAGTCCTCCACCCCCGGACGTTTCCGCCATCCTTGGTTTGGGGGTGTGACAGATAGCATACAAGACCTTCCGGTCACACATAGGTACCACTCTAGGTACGGTATAGTGAGAAGACTCACCTCGACTATCTCGGATAATCTCGCACACGTATACTGATCTAGCCTCCGCCTAAACACATAAACAATTATCTCGAATCAATAACGACTTTACATGCTAGACTAGTCTCTTCCATATCCTCTAAGAAGGCTAAAAGACCATTTTACCCTTCAATGGTCCACAAGTCCAATTGTTGACCAAACCCTAAAAGTCAACAAAAGTCAACGGTCAAACTTTGACCAGACTCGCCGAGTGCACTCGTGTGACTCGGCGAGTCCATGCATGTCCTCTTCGCCCCTGGTCCTCACTCGACTCGCTGAGTCAACCCTACACTCAACGGGTCATCACCGGTCGCGAATCGCAGGGCAACCCGACTCGACTCGTCAAGTCCCTTATGGGCTCGACGAGTTCCTCCCATGACAACACTCATCTGACCTCTTGAGGTCAGATCTGCTTCTCTAATCTATAGATCTGACTTCCCCATGACCAATAAACACGTAAAGGTCGAATCTTGCTACACATACAATGCTCCCAAGGCTTATTTCGGTGAAATCCCTTCTAACATGGCAACCTATGTCCATTTCCTCCATAGAACCACAAAAAGCAGCATGGTTCAGGCTCTCTGGACCTCAAAAGGTCCAGATCTAGAGTTTAGCACTCAATGGGACACTATACACAACTAAACAAGCCATAAAAGGGTATAGAAAACCCTAAATTCAATGCCCTTAAGCAAAACAGAAGGATAGGATCAAATAGCTACCTCAAACTTGAAGATCCAAGCCAAAAACCCACTGAAATGCAATCCTCTTGACCTCCCCTTGCTGGAAACCCTTTCTCCTTTGCAAAATCACACCAAAAATGATCAAAAGGCTCAAACTCTCTCACAACTCGCTCACAATCGCTAGGGTATCTCTCTCTGGACTGGTAGCCGCAAATGCAGGCCATAAAGGCCTTTAAATTGGGCTCAGGCCCTGAGATTTAGGGTTTCACTTTACAGCGCGGACTCGCCGAGTCCACGCATCGACTCGTCGAGTCCCTCATTAATCCAGACAAGAATTCGTGATCCTACTCGGCGAGTCTGAGCGCCTACTCGCCGAGTCCCTCCTTAAAACTCAAGATAAATACTTAAAATAAGATACCTGGGAATCCGGATGTTACAATACATCACCTTACTTCTTTAAGTATGTGTCATTTAAGTATTTAAGTATGTGTCATTTCTTCTTTATGACTCCAAAAGCCCGTTCCACGTCCTTTCTTGCCACTTCTTGTGCTGTTTTGAACAATTTTATTTTTTCATCTTGTGGATATCGATACTATTTGACAAATGTAGCATAGTCTGGATATATCCATCACCAAGATAATAACAATACTTGTACTCATTTCCATTCACAACAAAAGGAAACTTGAGTGCTTTGCCTAACCAAATTTCGTTGAATGTCGGTGATGCACCACATACATTCAGGTCGTTATTTGACCCTGACATACCGAAGTATGCATGCCAAAACCATAGATCTTGTGACACCATTGCCTCTAGCATTACCGTAGGATATCCATGATCACCGTCTATGTATTGACCTCGCTATGCCTTCGAACAATTTTCTCATGCTCAATGCGTACAATCAATGCGTCCAATCATTCCTGGGAAAATATGTCCATTTCTATGTGTCGCATATAAGCACCAAGAACATTGAGGTTTTTTTTGAACCCGACATACCGAAGTACCCATGCCAAAACCATAGATCTTGTGACACCACTGTCTCTAGCACTATCGTAGGATATCCATGATCACCGTGTATGTATTGACCTCGCCATGCATTAGAAAAATTTTCTCATGCCCAATATGAACAATCTATGCTTCCAATCATTCTTGGGAAAGCATGTTCATCGTTATGTGTTGCATATAATTTGATCAATATCACTTCTTGTCAGATGTTGCAACTAAATCTAACCATAAAGCTCTTTCACATGTTCATCCACTGCGTCCGGCGTCATGTCGCATCCCAAAATCTGAAGTGTTGTTGTACACTTTTGTAACATAGTAAACCCTCGTCTACCCTTAGCATCACACCTCAATTCAAAGATCTCAAAATTATCTTTCAAATCGTTAACTATACGCATAAATAAATTTCTACTCAAACGCTAATGATGTTTGAATGCATCGCCATCATACAAACAATCATCAGCAAAATAGTAACTTATATGTCCGTTTGCAGCTTCACAATCCCTACTTAGATATTTTCTACTTCTCGGGGGGGGGGGGGGGGGGGGGGGGGGGGGGGGATTTGACTTTTCTCCTAATACATCTAACATTGTACTAGTAACTTGAAGAAATACATTCAAAAAATCATCGTCGTCATCCAAAGACGCTGATGAATAATTCTCCATATTGTGTTTGTATAAAAAGAGTGGAAAATATTAGTAGAGTGTTAATTTTATGAGGGGGTATATGATTAATATAGGATGTGTAAAAGATTTCTTTTAAAACAAAATACATTTAAAATGGTCAAATGGACTGTTAGGAGCAATTCCCCATTTTTTCTTCCGACAAGCACCGTAGAGATAACCACCACCCACTATAAACATGCCTCATAACGCCACGTGGGCATGATATGCCTCATAACGCCACATGGGCATGATGTTCATGCCCACCAATCGCACCAATTGCCTCCATCACTCCCTTACTCCGGATAACCTAAAAAACAGTGTTGTAAAAATCTCGACTATGCCCCGATTAGTCTCTAGGCGCTAGCAGACCGACTAAAAGACGTCTAACGATTAATCCATATCTAGACAATGAGTAAAGTTATAGAAGTCGGTGAATTTTGAAAACTTTGAAAAAATTCTATCTGAAGAGAAACTCTTTGAGGAATGATTATAGTTGTATTACTTATATTAACATATTTTAGTGTGATATTAGTGGTATCTACCAACTATGTTATGATATTAGACATATTTACAACTTTAAATTTTAACGAATTTACAATTTATGGTCTTTGACTAGTGACCGACAAATCCCTAGTCGTTTGTTGATCAACTTAGTACCGCTAACAATTTTAAAACCTTGATAAAAAAATTCCATTTTGAACAAGAATTAAAGAAAATAACATACACGACAAAGAAGAATTTCTACATTTACCGTAGATTTTAATTATAAATTATTTTGTAATATTAGTATATTATAACAAATCTGGATATTTTAACATTCAACCAACTCGTAATCCAAATTTTACAATTTCAAACAATAAACCACACTCACTCTTATCTTCTTTGCATCCTTATTCCATTTTGTTATCTTATTTCGATTATAATTTTTAAAACGAATAACCAAACATAACATGCCATCAATATTCGGTATTCGAATATTAATCAACCACATAAACTTTGTTCATTTTCAATATTCGGTATTAGAATTCACCATTACATACCAGGAATGAAACATTAATCAACCACATAAACTTCACAATTGATGATCGATTCAATCACCATTATCAGTCACCTTCCTCGTGGATGCACAATCTGAGAAAACACATTACCTATCGAACCATCTTCCCCATGATTACCTCTCCTAAACTCATCCCCATCAATCATACTCACACTATTATCAAACCCTTCAAGTGGATTCAACCTGATCCCCTCAATATGATTCATACTGTTATCTTCCACCTCCACAAGAGCCGAAGTCTCTTCAAGCTGCAATGCATACTCCAAATTCCACAGAACATCACCCATTGAAGGCCTATCAACACCGTATTCCTCCAAACATTTCTCCACAGTCTCACCGTATTTCTTCAACGATGAAGAATTCACCTTCCCCACAAGTTTGTCATCCATAATTTGATCCAATTTCCCATCTTTTTGCCATTTTAGACCCCACTCGGCTATGTTCACTTGATCTCTCGGAAGAACGGGGTTCAAAGCCGGCCTCGCGCACAAAACCTCAATCAAAACAACCCCAAACGAATAAACATCGGATTTCTCGGTTAACTGTTGTCGTCGGAAGTATTCCGGATCAAGATATCCAAAACTACCCTTCACAGCAGTACTGACATGAGTCTGGTCGATGGCGGGACCCGCCTTCGACAACCCAAAGTCGGCAACTTTTGCGACGAAATTTTCGTCCAAAAGAATATTGGTTGTCTTCACATCACGGTGGATCACACTCTGTGATGCACCTGTGTGAAGATAATGTAGGCCCCTCGCGGCCCCGATACAGATCTCCAGTCGTTGTTTCCATGACAACGATGGGAGATCTGTACCATACAAATGGCTCCTGAGAGGGCCATTTGCCATGAACTCGTATACGAGAATCATTTCGCATCGTTCGTCGCAGTGACCGATGAGCGAAACAAGATGACGGTGTCGGAGCTTCGATAACATTTCGATTTCCGTTCGAAACTCCACGAGACCTTGTTCGGATCGTGGGTTTCCCCGTTTAATCGCAACAAGTGTCCCATCTTCCATTGTTCCCTTGTAAACCCGCCCGAAACCACCAACTCCAAGTAGCAACTTTTCATTGAATTTATTCGTTGCGTCCATGATTTCTTGAAAACTAAAGGTTTTTCCAAGATTACACGAAGGTATAGAAATCGTTGACATCTTTGTCATGGTGATTGAATGTGGAAGCCATGGTTTCGTATGAACCGGTTTCGACCCACGACCCGAAACCCAACAATAACACAACCCGGAAAAAATCACAGCCACTGCCGCCGCAAGAACCGCCCCTATCACCACCGCCATCTTCCTCTTCTTGTTCGCCTGAGAAACAACCAGATTCGCCACCGGATCAACCCCGTCAAAGCTTTTTGCTCCATTGCTGATCTTTAAAACTTCAAGACCATTCAAGATCGCATTTGGGTCTTCTGAATCGACTTCTGGCCCCACACTAACAGATAAAATATTCGAATCTGTTGAAACTGTGACAAAATCTTTGTAAACAGGCACATCCAGGTTTCCCGTGAAGCTTGATAAATCCAGATCGGAAAAAGCATTATCAGAATTTATATACAGATTGAAAACAAGAGTATCCAAAGACGTGCTCACGATATCACAGAAATGGACACGAACAAAATACGTGAAATCAGGATCAACGGGAAGAACCCAAGTGATGTTAAAGTTCAAATTCGCGACTTTTGCATCTCCCAATGTTTGACCCGTTGCATACACCCAATTCGGTGCAATTTCAGGCGTTAAATTTTCTGGGTACTTCACGAGTGAAGGAGTTATGGAGACATTTGCAGCCGAGCTATTAACATGAAGATACTGCTCATCGTTTTCCCAAATTCTTCCCAAAGTATCGTTTTGTGGTGTAAGTTTTGGGCCACCCATGTTTAATCGATAAACAGTTTCAAACGCGAGTTCAGAAAGCCCCGTAATTGGGGAGGATTGAGACAATTTTGTCGCTTGATCAGGGATTAATTCATCAGGGATTGAAACGACTTCGATTGCATTAATGAATGCAATTGAATTGTTTGATGGGATAAAGTTAAGAAGCAATGTGTTAGAAGTGACATTGATGGAATACTCTTTTGAGATGAATTTAGAGCCGGTGTAGCTTTTGAAACTGTAATTGTTCAAGAGGACGAAGTTTTTCTGTAACTACAGTGAATGAAGATGAAGTAAGGTTGTGGTCTGGAATCGGGTAAAAATGGAGTCGGATCCAATGTCGACCTTGTTTTCGGATATTGAATATGTAGGTTGAAATGGCAGTGAAAACTCGTGCAGATTGGTGGATTGGTAATGGAACTGTTGATTTCGATTGGATAAAGTACGAATCTTGTTCGGTTTTTAGGGAAAATGATGATTGAATTGAATCAGGGAGATAAATTTGGCCAAGAAATGTGATGTTTTGTGAAGAACCACAAGCAATTAAGTAGTTATCAGGAGGAACGAATGAAGCAGATGATGAGTGATGAAGATATAAAGATATAAGAACAATAACAGAAGATACCCAATTCACAACACTCATTTTTTCTTGATAAATCTCCAAATTAATAGAAAATAGAAGAAGCTAATTGCACCTTAATGAATCAAGATTCATGATAATGAGCAGTTGGGAACTCCAAATTGTCGCAAAAAAGAAGGTAATTGGACCTTAAAGATTCAAGATTCATGAAACTAAGCAATTGGGTGATCCAATCTGGTACCCAAAAAGCAAAAAATTTGAAGAGAGAACTGTCGAATTCCTGCAAACCTAAAGAACCCCAGAAATATTTATGTTGAATTGTAGAAATAGGGTTTGAATTGGATGAAGGGGAGTTGAAGTGAAGAGAGAAAAACCAAAGCCTCAGTAGGATGTGAAGATGCCATGAAAACTCCATTATAAAGGTGGAAGTGGACACAGCTCTTTCCAGGCTGCCAAAAGAACTGGCTTGGATGGACCCACAATCAAACTGGAAAGAATCAAGATGAAAATATAACCCAGTTCGATTCAATCTCAAACAGCTGGTGTCAAATGATTTACGAGTAATTTCATTTATTTCATGAGTAGCGTATCTTTGATTTGGGTCAGTGTTGCAGAAAGCACCATGAAAGTTCTGCAACTGAGCTGTGTTTTCTTTTTATTCTTTTTTATTTTTTCATTTTATTATTATTATATTGTTATAAGATCACTTTGCTTAGCTATATTTAAAGTTTATTTATTATGTTAAGTCAAAGCTATTTTCAAAATAAAAGTCAAGAATTTGAGAGGATGGTTTACTACGTTGTGTACATATTTGTTATTAAATGATTTTTTCAATATTATTTATTATTATTTTTCTGATTATTCATAAACTATTGTTATTATCAGGTATTGTTGGCAATATCGATGATCTTATTTATTTAAAAAATAGATGAAATGTTAATTAATATATTAGTTTATAACCCGTAAGAATCACGGTTATAAAATTAATTAAAATTTCATAGTAAAAACTTAAATATATTAATCAATTATTTTAAATAAATTATTAATTAAAGAGATATTTTTTAATTATATAAAATTATAATCGTTGATTTAAATAAATACATGAAATTATATCACTTTATAATATATATTTATTTTATTTTATTTTTTATTCTAATATTATTAATTTAATGTAATTAGAATATGAAATTTAAAATTTGAAATTAATAATCAATTATTAATTTAATGTAATTAGAGTGGGAAATTTAAAATTTAAAATGGATAATTAATAGGTTGACATTAATAAGGATTTCTAATATTGTGACACTTGTCAATAGAAGAATAAACTTATTTATTTATTAAGATAGGGATATTGTCGTATTTGAGATGGTAATGTTATTATATTATGGAGGTTCCTAACTAATTTTTTTAACTCGAAAAGTCTATATTATTTTTTTTTGCTGCGCGCTTGATCTTAAGATAACTAAAACGACCAATATACTTTTTCTTGTTTTTTTACATTTATTTTTTATTTATTTATTATTTAAATTATTAAAAAATATCATGGGACCCACACCCTCCTCTCCTCTTCTAAACTCGATATATCTTTCTTCTTACTCATCCCTAAATCATTGGAGTGGCATGGAACATTATAACCACCGGAAACCATCATAATCGCCGAAAATCAACATAGTCGCCCAGATTCTCCACTATCGACGGCCTCTCACCATCACCTTTCAGCATATACTTCACCCTCTCGTTTCCCCCAGCATCCAACCTCAACATCTTCCATCATATTCTTCCTTCGGCAATGATCAGTCGAAGATTCTCCTTCCCTGGCATCTTCTCATTTTCGTTCTTATAACTTATATATAAGTTCAAGAAATATATATATATATATATATATATATATATATATATATATATATATATATATATATATATATGGTTTTGATTAAAAGAGGATTTTGTTTGAAAGAGGATTTTGATACATATTTTTCATTCTTGTAAACCACCTGTAACATGAATTCTGAATTCTAATGCAGCTTTTGATTTCTGATGCAGATGGTTCTTTAGAACAGCCACCAGAAACTACGATCTAGGGTTTTGATTTCACGATGGCAGCTTTAGGTGGTCTAGGAATCATTCAATGCACGTGATTGAGAATGAGGAAGCTAAGGTCAATATCTTGATGTCTTCTTTTTTGCATCTTGATGTCGAAAGAGGAATGGTAGTCCGATGGTTTTTTGGGTCCAACGAAATTCATTATCAATGATTGTTCCCCTTTCATCCTTATTTGTGACCTGGAAGTATGGCACCATGTTCGGATCTATTCCTGGATGTTCTCGATCTGGGTTCTCCGCCATCACTACCATGATTTTTTGGGAATAGGTTTCATGATTGTTCTTGATTTTGGTTTAATTTGGTGTTGATTACATGTTTTGATTTTAATTATATGGTTTGTATTTTGTTTTGATTCATCAGGTTTGTTCTTGATTCTAGATTTGTTTTCAGGAATCCAACCATGGTTGCTGGTGGCTAGCCATGGATGGCAGTTATTTTAGCAGGCAAGGAGGAGGTGGTGATTGTTGATCTTTGGTTAGTTTAGTGGTCGAGGGTAGATTTAAATCCGGTGGTAGCATAAATGGTGGTAGTTTACTCCAGTCGCATACTCCGACAAATAGAAATTGGATGGAATACTGAGTATTAGATTAATCATAAATATACAATAATAAATTAAAATAAATACATAAACATTAAAATTAATTAAAAAAGAAATTAATAACGACATAATAGAGTTTTTAGGTAAGACAATGACCAATCACACAACAAAAACAAACAGTAGGAACCTTCCGAGTTAAAAAAAATAAGTTAGGAACCAAAATTGTAAATTACCCAAACCATTGGAACCATTTGTCGGATTAGATGTCTAAGCCAATAACTAAATTACCATAATCTTGAATTATTAGCAAAGTCTTTGGGTTACCATCAAACCTAGTAATTAAATAGGATGACTTATATATATATATATATATATATATATATATATATATATATATAGAGAGAGAGAGAGAGAGAGAGACTGATTTATAATTTATTATGTGATTAATAAATTAATTAGAAATAAAAATGAATTTATTAATATGTTATGAAAATAATATATTAATTAGAAAGCATACTATTTTATTAATAATTAATCAAAAATTAATTAGGATTAATTTTGGGATTAATTGGATTAATTCAAAGTGCATGGACTATTTGGTTATTTGTTGAAAGTTGAAGCAGGAAGACTCTAGAACCCCATGGAATGGGGTGGCCAAAAATTGGCTAGAGATCATCTAGAATTTTCTGTGATTGGATAAGAGATAAGGCAGTTTGATTATTATACCGATTAATCTAGGCCTTATCCCCAAAACGCTAGCTTTGGCCCCAAGTTTCAGTCAGCTATATAAAGGTTCCTATACCTTCATATTTCGTAAACTCCTTATTTTATAGAGATAGCCGAAATTTTAATTACCTCTCTCCTCTCTCTTTAAGTATCCTAGCTACTAGGGTTGGGTGTGAACCATTAGAAGCACGACACTTATGGTGCTCGCTTCTAAAAGCTTTGAAGAAAGGATTCTTGATTGTTTACTACAACAATCAACAAGGTATGCATTCTTCCTTATGAATTCAGATTTCATTAGGAAAATTTTGTAGTTTGATAGTTCATAGTATGTTGCCTTTATCTGAAAGACATAGATCCTTCAAAGGTTGCATGTGCTCTAATCATTTAACTGTTAAATGTTTTTCCACTTAGAGCATAGTTTTGTAATCTACGTTTTCCATCGTCCTTTGTGTAATTTACTCTATACTATGTGTAAACATTTAGACATTGTTTATTTTTTCTAAAAAGGAGTTTTCTTACCTTTTTTTAGTTGTGTTGGGTAGATAGCGTGTGTAACACCCTGTTCGGGATCATTCTGTGATTCAGGGTCATGGGCTGGAAGTCGATTGTGTAAAGGCTTTTGGCCTTCAAGAGGCGATGTTTAGACCTTTTGGAAGGAGGTAATGATGGTTATGAGATCTAAACCTTTGAATTGTGTTTCGGAGTCAAAGGGTAAAACGAGAAAAGTCATAGGTCGGGTTCTTGCATGAAATATGAATTTTTTCGAGAAGTTTTTAGTCCAAGATATTTAGATAATATTGTAGAGATCTTTAATACCTTTTCGTGGATATAAATATCATCGAAAACGAAGTTGGAACGAAGAAGTTATGACCATTTGAAGTTAGGGCGGTTTTGGGTTGAGCCGCGTACGTTGGGCGTACTAGGACATCCTTAGTACGCTGGGCATAAATTGAGTACGTTGGGGGTACGCGATCAGTGCCCAAACCCTATTTTCGTGGTTTGAGCCCTATCTAAGCTCCTTAACTCCCCCAAACCCATTCCAATCTCAGCATCCACCTCTCCAACACCCTCTCATGTAACCCTAACCCTAGATTGAGCCTTGTGAGCAAAAAAAAAAGGTGTTTTTAAGATTTTTAGAGTGTTCTTGGTGCACCTTGGAGAAGAAGGAACTCATTGAATAAGTGTTGGATGCATTGGAGCTTGTAGATCCAGACTTTGTTCACCTTGATCTTTCTTCTAGAGGTATAAAGTTTGAATCTTTATGATGAAATTGTTAGATCTAACTAATGTTTGGTGTTATGAGCTTTTGGTCACTTTAAGTGCACAAAGTTTAGATCTTGAAAGTTTTTGACCTTGTTATGGATAAAGTTGTAAGCTTTATCCAATTAAACATCATTTTGATTCAAATTTGAAGGTTGGAGACTTGTACTTAATAGATTAAGTAGAAAAAGATGCACTTTTAGGTCCCTTTGAGACTTAAAGACTAGATCTTGTTTGTTAGGACCATTCTAATGGATAAAGCTGGAAACTTTATTAGCTATTATGAACCATAAAAATGTGATTGTGGCCCTTCTATCCCTTCCATACAAGAGTTGTGATGTCTTATTGGGTTAAGAGCTTAGGGTTTTGGACATTAAGCACTTTATATCTATGCAAAGTCATAAAGTTGGAAACTTTATGACTTAGGACATTGTTT